TCAGAGCACTTGTAGATTAGGGACATGACAAGAATTGGCTGGCTCATGGCTCACACTGAAATCCCTTTTCCCTCAAATCAGTATACGTGTACATGGTACATACTCCAGCTTAACAGCCATCGGATGGATTTTGTACCAGAGAGCCTTGAGATATTCATCAGGGGCTTGATATTCCGATGTTGGTAATGAATTAAGAGCTTAATATGGAGTCATTCAGAATACAAGGAGCATTTCCTAATATTGAATTTCAAATACTGATCAGAGTACCGGTACCTGTGTGACTATTTAGTGATTGAGCCGGTCATCTTCTTTGTTTGTCGTTTAGTGAGAAAAAAATGTCAGACGGGTAAAGAATTGATATTGCCAGGGAAGAAACCTGTCCTGTGAAAGCTAAAAAAAGGTCAGGTTACTATTCTTCACCGAATGATCCTTTTGTGCCATACATGGCCATGATTTTTTTTGTCAATAATGCACTTTGTACAAGTACAAAGTGGATTTGGCAAGAGAGTGTTTATTGAGGCAGCACCAGTGGTCTTACATTTCTCAAACAAAACACACAAAGGCAAATGAGACAAAATGTTGGTTATTGTCACCCTAGCCAAGTTGTTGCTGATCAGTTACCGTACTCATTGGCCTGACTGCACACAGGCATGTACATGTAAATGTCGTATGTAACTGCTTCAGAAATGTACCCTGACTCGCACTAGCCAGCTTGTCACTAAAATATTGTTTTCTTCCAGTGCCCTAGTGGTATTACTATCAGATTATTGCGACCTGCCTTGGGAATCGGGTGTGTGTGCATGTACATGTAGGTCGTGCACTAGGGAATTTGTAAGATTCGCAGGATGTCCTTTAATTGCAGCCCAGGTTTGTGTGTACAGGATCGGGGCAGGAACTTATCAGAGGCAATTGCCTTGATGCGCCTGGTCTTTGCCTCAGTGCCCCTTGAAATGTTCCCATAGACCAGTTGATTTTCTAATACAAGTGGCCTTTGCAAAGGAGAAATTGCCTTGCCCCTTCAAGAACAAAGTCCCTACCCTGCAGGATTCCCACTTGGGTTATCTGACAGTATTGTCCAGTGACAGTGTGCGCCAAAACAGTGATCCACCAAGGACGTCATGAACCGAGACTACCCGTGGCACTATGCAGTGATTCTGTGAACCCAGCAAACAGTGTACTTTATAAAAAAAACAAAACACCAGAGATGCTTTTTGTAGTTTTAGGGTGAAGAATTATCTTACACAGGGTGATAAGTGATTGTGCAAAGTGTAACCAATTAGAGTAGGGTTTTAAAGTACAGATAAAGTCCAAACAAGTGAGGTTAAACAGAAGGTTGCACTGCACAAATATGTGTGCCTTTTCACAAACTTTGAACTGAAATCTGTTTACTTTCTTAGCACAGTGCTTCGCATGTGTCAGTAGCGGTACCCGTCCACCCAACAGACTATTAGGCCTGTGTTTTTGTAGTGGCTGTTGCTCAGTATGCTACATGTACACGTAAAGAGTTATTTTCTGCAGATATGGGAACGAGGACTTGTTATTATGAATGTAAGTAAACTGTGATGCGTTGTAATCAAAGCATGCAAGTATTTTTAAAGAACAATGTTGTGTAGGACTACGCCGCTTCAGGTCTTAAAGATGTATCCAGGCCATGTGGTAAAGTTAATCTCTTTCTTTAATTAGCCCATGGAGCAGGTTACAGTAGCTTGTTTGGCCAGCCTGCAGGAGTTTTGATTTGCCCACTGGACATTATATACAGTAGCAAAGCTAAAGTGGCATTGTTCAACGTCATTATTTCAGCTGTTACAGAGGAGTTTTGCCATCAGAGGGGAAGGATTCACAGCTTACAATTAATCATAAACAACACAATGAATTTTACAACAATTTTTTTCTGTTCTTTACAAATCTGACAAGTGATAAACTTTTCCTACACTGGCTACAGGTAGGTACCGGTATTTCTTTACTAGCCAGCTGGGCAGTTTAAAAAAAGAATGTATTTTACTAGCCCGGGAAAGTTTTAGCGCTAGAGTTTGTGCGCCGGTCTAGTGTTAAGGTTGGAGCCTGTGTATCTAACTTATTTATTAAAAATGTAACTTTGTACTTAATAGTACAGTGGGAAAGAAAGCAGTTATGTAAATATGCATTTTCTGGGAATGTCCACTTACATCCTCTTGGGGATCCTATGAAGTGAATTGACTTCCTGTAGGAAGTTGACATTTGAAATGCATGTACATGTATGTACATGTACCGGTAGGTAGAGGGCCGAGTTTATTAATTAGCAAATATGTCTTGAGAAAAGGAAACATCTTTATGACATAAAAAGGGGTTGAGACCTTCAGAAGCACATTTTGAGCCAGTAGGCTTAGACAGAATTTAGGTGTTATGAATAGTGATGGTATTTTTCAACACCGAAAAATACCGACTGGTGAACCATAAGTACCAAAATACCGGCAAGTCATGCAAATATGGTATGGAATTTTGATACCACGGTATTCTTGCCTATATGCCTTGAAAATAAATGAAAGCCACCAGATCGTCATATTTCACTCCATCTTTTGCGGTACAAGTCGTCCAGTGTCGTGTCTGCATTGTCACTTGGACGTGGTGACAAACTAAACATAAAATTTAACCCTAACACTCCTCAGTCCTCCAACAGGTGAAGGATTGAGGAGTGTTAGGGTTAATTAAACAACCACCAATCCACCAGTCAAAAGCTTTAAATTTAATGAACCAACCCCCGTCATCCTGTTTGTGGTTTTGGTGTAAAGGTACTGGTAGCTTTTTTAGAATCTGACTAGAAGTCAGAAGTACATGTATGTATATGTAGTTGTTGGCATGCCCAGGGAATGTTGCCGTTTATCGCAGTTGCTTTTTGATGACAAATACTTTATACCTCCACTTCAAAGAATATCACGGTATTAGTGAATATCACTGTATTTTGATCACAAAGATCGCGGTATTGAAAGATGCAGTACCGTTCGAGCCTAAGAGTCAATGTACTTGGTTGTCATCCATGGGTGTAGCGTGACAGGCAAGCATTGTATGCATGAAATATTATAAAGTATAACAGTGACCTTGAAACACCCTCCATGGTACTTGTACATGCTTTAAGTTTGGTAGATCCAAAAAATTGATTGCCAGGACTGCTGGTTGGTTCTATTGTCACCAAGTGGTGAACAAACATTTGTTATCATCCTGAGCAAAAGTTTGGCGGGGAAAAACTTGCACTCAGCACTGCTTCCAAAAAGTTGGTGGCTCCAAAGACGTGCCTTTTGCTGAAACTTTGGTTACTTGTAGAGATTTGCCAGTTAGAATTCTGATTGTTTGTCACATGGCAAATGGAGTCATTGTACCTTTCCTTTTCCATAACTGCATTCACTTGTGTCCAGTTTTGTAACCCGAAATTGAAAGTGCAGTCAGGTGACCTTCATTGCCTAACGTGTTTATATTGCTGATCAGTGTACACATGCTTAGCTAACATAACATAATACTTCTTAAATTTGGTATTGGTGTTCATTCATACATGTACCGGTACATGTACTTACATGTATTTATTGTGGTTTTTCTTGATCACTCTTTTTTGCCATACGGTACATGGACATGTGTAGCTTGTTAAAATTAAGGAAAGAGATGTTGGACAGCGACACCAAGCTGATTGGGCGGGTAACCAAAAGTTTGCCCAAAAGTTTGCGGTTCAAGTATGAGATATACCCGTACATGTAATTATGGCCCACACATGTACATGTCAAGCCCGTGGGAAAGGGGAAGGGATGCTGCGGGTGCTGAAGCTCCCCTAACTTTTGTGGGCTGGGGTGCTGGTGTACAAAATAGCACCCCCCAACTTTGACCACGTTAAGCCACAAACATAAAATCACCGATGTCAGAGATCCACCGAAAAACCCGAGATATATATGATTTTACAACCGCAGCACCCACTCAGAAAAATTTGTTCCCGCAGGCATGGCACATGTACCGTATTTTCTTTCATGGTGTTTTTGGTTCCAACTGGCAGTAAACAGCTCTGTACAAAAGGTTCAGTATTCTAGGGATGTGGTAGTGGCCATTGTGTGGTGAATTATCGTGCAAAGTTCTACAAAGGACAAAAAGGGGACTTTTAGAAGGGTTTTGCCCGCAGATTGAGCTGAGTGGTGCTGAATATTTTTTCTAGGGAAGTTATGACAAAGAGTGGCGCCGGGTTTTTTCTTTGGACCTTCCTGAACTGATCTCTCAATAATGGTCATTATCACCTCAAATAGATAGATCCTGGCCTCAGCTAAAGAGCTGTAGTGTCAAGTGAAAAAAAAAACCTTTTGCTTGTTTAGACAATAAATAAGTTGTGCCTTCCATCAGGATTATGACTTTCAGCTCAACAATACTCACGTAGGATACGCTCTCTTTGTTGGTACTCATTTAAGGACTCGGGATGAGTCATGGTCCTGTAATGATGAATTGTTTAGATCAGTGGTTCCCCTGCCTATTTAAGTGTGAGGCGGCCCACATCACTGATCTTAGTGACCACGTCAGGCTTTTCTGTTGAATTGTACCACTTCACACTTAAAATAGACAAAGATGGAAGGAAAAAGCAAATGTTGAAATAAATCAGTTTAAATCATTCAGAATGATAAGGAAGGACACAGAATGCACGATTGATTTTATTTTCGAAGGGAAATTTGGAGTAAATGTATTATTAGACAATATGTATATCGAATTTATTTTAGGCTTTTTAGGCACTAGATTTTTGGCAAAATTTCTGAGCCACCTCACACATATCAGTATTCCAGGGGAACCCTGATTCAGATCAGTAGTCTGGTATATGTACATGTATGTTACTGAGTGCATGCATGTAAATGACCAAACGTGTAAATTAACAAAGAATTTAGTCCACTTGATGTTTGTGTTTAAGGACCCTAGAAAGTACTTGTACATGTGTATATTTCAGATATATGCAATAAAAGCATGTTTTGTTGACATGTTCTTTGTGAGAGGAAGATTTTAAAAGTGTGATGTCCCGTACTTTGCAAAGGCAAAATAGGTTGTACCTGTCCTGGTAAACAGCAGAACAGTACTGATACTTTGTAAAGAATAGAAACTCTCATGATTACAAAACACCTGATAATGAAGTACGTGGTCCGATTCTGAATACTAAATCAAATTACCTCCCTCTTCAAAGATAACAATGGTATGATCTTCCCTCACACCACAACCTCAAGATATTGTGCTTCCAAGAATAGATCTAGCCAAGAATTGTCCAAGGCGTGCAGTGAACAGGCAGTGCCTTGCATTCTGTTCTTTGTGTGCTCTGTACACTTATAGACCGGCATATGTACATACACACAAGGCATGATCCAGATAATGAAAGAACACAAGCAGCCCCGTCCAGTTTGTTCACCCAAAATCAGGTGATTGAAGAAGGTATCAGACCACGCTAAATATACATGTAGGTACATGTACATGTACCAGCAACAACTCAAAATGCCAGTGCCGAGTGTCGCCCAAGTCAGTTATACTGTGCAGTAGGTTGCTACAAGTGGAATCACAGAAATGCTGTGTGGGGTTTGGGGAGCCAGTGGTGCCAAACCCTCGCGTGTTGAATGTACGTGTTGGAACTGAGCATCTTTCATTACTGGTTGTGAACCGTACTGGCACAATCAGCACATTGCGCTGGTGGTACCAGCATTTACAAGAAAGCCTACCTACATGTACTTTCGGAAGTCATTTGGAGCACACGTGTAATCTGTGAACCTCATTTACATGTACATGTAGTGGACAGTCTGCTCTTCGGATTGCAATCTGTTTTCCTCCGCTAAGTGTGTCAGGACATGCACGGTGTACCTTTTCCTCAGGCCTGCACAAGACCTCACAACTCGCTTACCACTCGAATTACCGTAAATGAATGGTGACTGTTCAGCGTAAGCCAGTGTGGATGAGCTCTCTGCCTTTTGGACAGCTGGCAATTCATTGATTTTAATTCATCGGAACAGATGCTCTGGTAGAAGTCACAAGGAAAAACAAATCCAAATCCTCTTACGCGAGCTTGAGGCGTGGGAGAAGTGTTTTCACAGTATGAGCATTGGTGTGAATATTGTGCAGTGTAATGTTATGTTCCATAACTATCTATTTGTGCCAGGATACGCGTGTAGACAGCGAGTGGATAGGTTCATTCCATCGTTGAACTCAGCATAAGCAAACTGGCAGTACTTCTTAAAGTTTCCACCAAATCCGACCACTTTCCTTCTGAAAAAAACCCTGTTCTTTCTTGAGATGAGTTGTTTCCAACTGCGATAAGTACTGTGGTGTGACAAGTACAGTCATCTACCGGTATTTGTATAGTTTCCAGCAAGAGTACCATACATTAAGAAACATCATTGATTGTCAATTTGCTGGCTCTGGTCTCGACCAGACCGCACATTCTGGTGTTGTCAACATGCCTCCGGTTACTAAACGAAGCCACGTGTGCGAAGTCAACGGTTGTGCTCAAAATTTGGGTAAAGAAATCTAGATTTACAGTGTTGGGCAGGTTTGCCTCACTTTGCAGTACAGTTATTGCAAGTTTAACCTAAAGCTGTCCGATCAGTACCACTGAATATACAGATATTCAGTTGAGTGGAAATTTAAATAATTGAATCTTGAATTATTTACATGGTAAGCCCTTGTAGCTAGTCTTAAACACCAATTATTTCTCTGTAACTTCCAACTCCAGCCATGCCCTGGTTCGGCATGGACATCGGCGGCTCCCTGGCCAAGCTGGTCTACTTCGAGCCGGCCGACTTCAACCTGGAGGATGAGGACACGGAGCTGGAGCCAGAGGCCCTCTACAAGATCCACCACTACCTGCGCTGCAACACGGCCTACGGCTCCACGGGCATCCGCGACGTCCACCTGGAGGTGCGCCAGGTGACGGTGCTGGGCCACCGGGGCTCGCTGCACTTCATCCGCTTCCCCACCACCAGCATGAGCCGCTTCCTGGACATGGTGAAGGAGAAGCGGCTGTCCAGTCTAGCCGACACCATCCACGCCACGGGTGGAGGGGCCTACAAGTTTGAGAGGGACTTCAAAGAGGTCAGTGCCCCTTATTTCCCTTCACTCAGGGGGTGGGAGGGGGACGTATTGTAAGATTGTTTACCTTTCCATGGTCAAGGGTCCAAGCCAGCATTTGAAAATTTGTTAGCCCAATTTGCCTTGATGAAAGAAAACATTTGCATTGCCAGACTTGAAGTTCATGAAGGACTACAGCTGTCAAAATATACGTCCAGGCCCCCCCTTCCCACGACTGAAACCTTTAGGTCAAATTTAACAGCATACATGTATGCATATTGTCATCAACCCTCCAAGATCCTTTAATGTCTACCCGTAGACATCATATGATTTTGTAGGATGGGGAAAAAACAACCTGGCCACTATTATTTTGTGCCCGTGGAAGTTCAAACAAAAGGAATTTGTCATCAAGCTCTCTGCTTTGTTGATTTGGAGAAAAATTTGAATTGGTTTTTGTAGAAGAGTGTGGAAGCAGATGGGATCGATGTGCCTAATATGTAAACAGATGTTTTTGAGCTTCAGCGTGATCACATGTATGTATTTGATCCCCGATATCCCATCCTACCCAGATCGTCAACATGAGCTTGCAAAAACACGACGAGTTGAGCTGCCTGCTCCGTGGCATCCACTTCATGGACAGGATACTGCCCAATGAGTGTTACTATTACAGGAACACGGACGCCTTCAACAGCGAAGACAGCGAGAGGGTGCCTTATGACTTCCGCGACCCTTACCCCTACCTCGCCGTCAACATCGGGTCGGGGGTCAGCATATTGGCAGTGTACTCACAGGACAACTTCAAGCGTGTTGGGGGCACAAGGTAATTCATCAGCTTGACCAAGTTTATTAACTTCTGATTCAACCCTATTTAAGGGAAAGTAATAGATTGTATTCTTGTCATTCGCAGAATTGGATTGAATGTCACATTTGAAGTACTGACGAACAATTGTCTTCTTGGACATTTTTTTCCAAATGACGTTTGTCTTTGATTACGATTCCTGATGGATAGACCATCTGCTGATACGACCAAACTTGATTATTTGAGAGCAACACATTTGCATTGTTTAACAGGAGGATGTGGATTTGATTTCAATCCAAGCAACAGTTACATGTACAAGTAGCTGGGAACCAGTAAAAATCAGTCAAACAAAATTTTGCAACACATTTGCATTGTTTAACAGGAGGATGTGGATTTGATTTCAATCCAAGCAACAGTTACATGTAGCTGGGAACCAGTGAAAAGCAGTCAAACAAAATTTTGGCTGGTGTTCTGTTTTTGCTGAGCAACTATGGTCAATCTGTGTGTTTAGGAGGTTTTTTGACGTACCGCTAACAGCTTCAGGAAATTGACTCAAATCTGCTTATTTCTTGTCTTTCAAAACAAACTTGTTTGTGTCTCTTTGGCTTACCAGCACCTGTGCATTGTATTCTGGTGAGGCCAAAACCCCCTAAGAAGGATAGTCTGGTGGACCCGGTTTTGATGAATATGTTTGCTGTGTAATTTGTACTGTACATACATGAGTGGATGCAAAGGGCCGAGGTAAAGCACCCTGGTAAAGCATGCGCACATAGTTTTTTTTTTAGGATACCAGTTGGGTGCATAAAGGAGTTCGTTGAATCTTTATGTGCCAGATTTATTAAACCCAAGGACTACAATAGATACTGTTTTCTTTTCTTTATATCCACTCTCACATTTTTCCCAATTTCCCTCCTTCCCCCCCCCTTGAATTTAAGAGCCAATTCTTTCTTGTATTTTTAACCATTCAGTTTGGGAGGAGGTACATTTCTTGGCCTGTGCTGTCTGTTGACGGGCTGCGAGACGTTTGAGGAGGCTATTGAGCTCGCCTCACAAGGAGACAGCACCAAGGTGGACAAGAGTGTCAGGGACATCTACGGTAGAGACTACAACCGGTTTGGGCTGCCCGGCTCCGTTGTGGCAAGCAGGTGGGTACATCATAAATGATCCTTTTAGCGCACCACCCAGCAAAACTGTTGAAAGTGTTTTTGCACTTCATTTGTTTTTAACTTGAAGTAAAAGTGCTCTTTGCTAAACAAACTGTAAAGGGAAACTGACAAGGCATTGACAAATGGGTAGAGCCGCCAAAATAGGGCTGGACAGCTCAGTTGGTAGAGCACTGGTATGGCATTCCGGAAGTCCTAGGTTCAATCCCACTCCTCTCAATGTCTGTTGATCTTTGTAATTATTATGTTCGTTGTTAGTGAGAGATGTTTCATACCAATGTGGACGTCGCGAAGCTCTACAGACTGTGATCTCTTACATGTACCCGGTTTGTCGAACAGAGCTCAGAACTGCAAGAACGCATTTGCCTAATGCTCAGCAGTTTTTGAAAAGTTAAACCTGCATATATGTTGCTTGTTGCAAAATTAATAATGTCTTATGTGTGATTGTGTATATTCTGTTAAGCCATCTTACGTCTATTAGCATAATCATCCTTATTAAAGATAACATCCCCTCCAAAATCATCCAGCTTTGACCACTGTCCTTTTTGCCCAACAAATAAAATCTCAAGCATTCAGATTAATTATCTGAAATTAAGCACACCCTTCCAAAAAAGTGTCAAATACGTCATTATTTGGTGATGCTACTTAATAAGCATAGTTAGCATGTATACATGTAGTGCACCCAACACTTTTAAGGTCAGTACCATATCTGTGCTGTGTGTGCGTTTGAGCGATTTGTTTACTTTTGTGGATCATAGGGTAAGGTTCTTGCGCAGATAGTGATCTGGCTGGTAAGTATAGTCTGATAGCTTTTTATTGTTGGGCGTACTGTTTGTGTTATGAATAATAGGAAGGCCAGTTATTATAGGGTTACCTGTGAAGTTCACATCACCTTGAAGTGTGTGTTGATCTCTGGAACCTTGCTTATCTAGGGCCAGTTTTACAAAGTGGGCTGAACACAGAGAATTGTTTAAGGTGTGTCTGAATTATTTGGCTGTGGCTTGAAAACACATAACTCTATGGGTAGCTGCTGCAACCATTGTGTGTAATTTCAAGCCATAGCCAAGTAATTTGGACGTGGCCTTACAGCATGGGAAACATTTGCTCAAGAAAAGTTGGTTGCCAGGACATGCGCATGTACATGTACCTGACCATTGATGTCAGGAGCCAGTTCCAAATTGAGTAACTGACTTTCTGGACAAAGAATGGGAAAGATTTTGAAAGATATTTGAGGGAGATTTTTAACTTAAAAACAAGGCTACTCTGCTACTGGAACATTTTTTTAAGTTTATATCCAAAGGTTCTTGATTAGCATTTTTGATGTAAAATAGAATTGGCAGTTTGAACGCATTTTTCACATAATTGCATTTTTAGTCATTGAATATATGGTCCAGGTTTAGCTGGTACCATGTACCGGAATATCATATTTCTGTTTCAGTAAGATACCTGGATTCTGCATTGCATGTACAAAAATTGTACACGCACACCACTGTAGGATACTGTGTGACCCTTATTGTGCATAACTGGTTCTCATACACCTGTAATTTATTTTGACACATTTTTTACTACTGTTCTTCACACCTCTCTCGATTGTTTTATTTTCTTCCAGTTTCTGTTCCATGAGCATCAAAGAGAAGCGGGACGCTGCCAGCAAAAAGGACTTGGCCCGAGCCACACTGGTCACCATCACCAACAACATCGGCTCCATCGCCAGAATGACGGCTCTCAACGAGGTGAGACCTGGGGATTTATCCTCGTGTCCAACGAGCCAACACTCTAATCCTTCTAGTTTTGCATATCACCAAGGAAGTTAATCCATTTCTTTTTCAAGTTGTGTGGTTTGTTTGAACTCAACGTTTCAAACAGTGCCCTCTGCTCGTCATCAGGATGCTTGCCAGCATCAGGGTGCGCACAAGTTTTGTCTAATGTCTGATAGAAAGAACATTCTCCTGTAACTTCCGTCAAATTAAAATGGGTACCATAAAGTAGCATTTGTAAGTTGCATTTTAAACTTAGTGACCAAAGAAGCCAAAACAGAACAATTACAAAAAACCCCAACAAATGAAATTTGTTTCCATCCATCAGCTGGCCAACTATTTCCCAGTTGTTTACATGTACATGTACATACCCTGCATTGCTCCTATCTTGTCTCCTGTGTCTCCTATCTTTTCAGGGTATTGAGAGGATAGTTTTTGTTGGCAATTTCCTTCGAGTCAATCCCATCTCCATGAAACTTCTGTCGTATGCCATGGACTTCTGGTCCAAGGGCAGTCTGAAGGCACTCTTCCTACAACACGAGGTGCGTTGGATGCGAAGAATCGGCTGTGATTAAGCTCTGAAGACTTTTATAAGCATTACTGATCATTGAGAAATGCTGTAAACACAAAACATATTTACATGAAATAATGGAATAAATACACGCTTGGCCAGTTCTAAACTTTAGTTTAGACCAGCCAAGCACATATTTATTCCCATTCATAAATACCTTTTACAGTCAGAGAGTCAAAAGAAGTCAATATACGACAGATTTCCAACAATTTTGTTCTGGAATTTTACTTTCATTTTCCCAAGCACCTTTATCCAGTTTATTTTGTAGTTTTTGTCAAAAAGAATTTTCTTTTCTGGACTTGGTACACTTGTGGCAAGCCACGTGCACACAGACTTTTGACCAATCAGAATCGATTAAACTGTCTCGTATCCAGGTGCCAGTGCGTGATTTACGTAGTGGGCATTATCAGATGTAAATACACGATCAAGTTGCACGTTGTTGAAAAGGGAGACTGTCTGAGGTATTTATGAATGTCTAATAAAGACGTGTCTTTATCATTGTAGACTAGTGTGACATGTTTCGTTTGACAGATAGGGCATAATTCAAACTTTATGCATGTGCATTGCAGTTTTCCCTATTTTGAGTGCAGTTTCTAACTGGTCCCTCATTGAAAATAATTCTTCTCCAAGGTTCCTATGATTTCCTGGGGACGGTGCATTGACCGCACGACAGTTCAGATGTGATTAGTTTAGTATGATGCTGTTATTGGAGTGATAGCTCCCATTTGTTGTAAGGTTGTGTCCTAAGTATATTGCTGTGGCTAGCATAACACAGACGTCTATGGGATTTGGCTGCAGCCACTAATCAACGGCTTTCATAGGTCCAAGTGTTATTTCCAGCCACAGCCATAACTTTTGGACTCCGTCTAGCTGTGTTATCTGTCTTTCCTTGCAGGGTTATTTTGGGGCTGTTGGGGCATTCCTTGAACTGATTGGCTACGACGGCGATCGGAATGGCAACGGTGCAGTGTGCAATGGAGTTGTATGATCTCGGAACCCTAGACGCCATCTGCTCCGTGAGTTCCATTACGAAGGCCCCCGTGTTTGTCCCCATTCCACAGCCACTCCGGCCATGGCTACTGCTTCTCTGTTGCCAGGCGTGCCGCATCCCTGGTAAACTGTACATGAAACTCAATTGCTGCTGTTGTCAGTTACCAGGGAAGGCGCAGGGTTAAAAACTGAAATCAGAAGTGCCCCGGAAGAAAGACAGTGTGCTAGCGGAGCAGATTATGAACCCAAAAAGACAAACGCACAAATTCTGACAGACTCTCATGCCAATGCAAGTTATGTGTGAGGCCTTTTGCCGACCGATCAGGGATTGGGCACCTTTTTTATCTACTGTGAGCATTCCGTACAAACAGTGTCAACGTCTTGTTCCCTTCATTTGTCGACTTGGAGTTTTTGGTGACTTGGGCTGGCCCACAACCTGACAAAAGCTACACTGAGGAGTCGGAAAAGAGGTGTGGAGTCAAGCGTGTAAAGTGTGCCTGTTGGTGTCAACAGTTTTTGCACATAGGTGTTTCTTAGCACACGTATTTGGTTGGACACTGAAAATGTGCCGCAGTGGGATTGGAACCCGCGACCTTTCTGGAATGCTGTACTGTTGCTCTACCGAAAAACTACAGAGCATTTGCATGGCTGCCATCTTGCAAGCCAGTGTTTTTGTTCCACAGGGTATGCGCACAGAAAGTTTCCATGTGGAACAAAAGAACTGCCCCGCAAGATGGCTATCGTGCAAAGCCTCCGCACGTGGCCAGTACAGGCTTTGTGCATGAATGGCAGATGGAGGTTTTTTATGAGTAATGTCTTTGTTATGTTTATTTTTTTATGACTAAGCCCTGACTGTGCGTGCTTGCTTGTGGGCATCTCCCAAAGGTGTGCACAAGTCAAGAGTCATTTTGCAAAGCTATCTGTTGTGTACAGTGGTGTGAGAATTCAGCTTTTTAGCTGATTTCACCTTCTTTTGTTCAGATGTTGACCCCGAATTTCAACTTTTTTGTACACGTGGTCTGTCCAAAAGCATGGGAACTTTTTACATTTCAGCTTTTTGCTAGCTGTTTTCAGCTTTAATTTTAAGTGGCCACTCACACCCCTGTGTGTAGAAGAACTCCTAACGCGCAAACGGAACAGAGGAAACCATTTCAACTGGGCCCCTGATGCACTCATGAAGACTTTACATTCTAACAGAAACTGGTCGCACATTGTTAAGCGCACAATTTCTTATGTTAGGCGAATTAGGACTGAAATGTGGGGACATATCTCTGTCCCCGTAGTGTTTTGGGCCACACAAAAAGAGGTGAAATGCTGTGTTTTGTCCCCCAAATTGCAGAAGTTTGGGTGAACCTGTGTGTGAAGGCTGTGTGTTCCCGTCAAGAGATGTTGTTGCCGTGCAGAAACATGCCATCTTGTGTTTCTGTGTCTGGCATCTAACTGGCACACCAGCTCTGAATTCTCATCAGTGGTGAGGAGCTCTTGTATGCTTGAAGTGGATTTATGCACCGTACCTCGTGCATATATGTATGTTTTAAATTTGCACCCTCGTTGGCCAGATTGTAAATTGAATTGAAAATGTACAGAGTTCATGGATATTAACTATGAAAATCGTACCCTACTTTGTTGTACCTGTGCTTGTGTATCCAAAATCATGCGACATTATATGTGCTCGTTAACTTCAGTGCTTGAGCCTCACTGGGTTATTTCTGAGTGCAGAGGGATCTCTACCACGCCCTAAATCAACTTATCAATTCTGAACCTGACTGCCGGTGCACTTCGGTTCACTGCCATTGACATCTCACTGCCAGAAATGTAAACAGTACGCAGACATGTCTGTGCCAAGTACTTGGGGGACTTTGATCTTGTTTTTGTTTTCTTTTCCATCAGACATTACAGGTGAAAAGCTGGAATACCGGTACATGGGTTAAAAATATGAGTTTGACATAATTTTACCGAATCCCTACCTCCACAAGACGTTTGCCAATGGTGCTAACACAAATCTAACGTGCTTTGAGACACCATATGTTACTAAACATTTGACATTTAAGTCGCCTTTCTTCCCTTAGCAACTAACTTGCTCCACGTACGTGTACGTAATTTAAAAAAAGGCACAATGTGTGCCCAGGAATTACTCTTATGAAAGTACAAGGTGGATCAAACTTCCTCACTTCTGAGCAAAATTTGCGCACATCGTACTGAGTCGTAATGATTCATAATGGGTTTTGCATTGTAAATTGCATGTAGTTTTGAGGCTGGCTGCACAGAAACTGCCTATGGAAAGATGAGTGCTGGTAAGTGTTGATAGAAATTAAGTTGAATAGATACTGATATGGTTTAAGTTGCGTGCAGTTTGCAAAGAGGCAAATCTTAGGGGTCTGTGGATCGAGAATGCAATAATACATATTCATGTACCAGAGTGGTCGAAAGCATGCATTGTGTGTCAGGATCACCCATTATTGGAGACACAAATGAATTGTGTTCTAGTATTGTAAATATCTCTCTCTACAGATGGAAGATATTTGAGGTTAACAGATATTGTATTCATTAATAGATATTGCCTGTGGAAGCCACCTTTTATTTTTTACATCAGTTATGACTGTCACTTTTAATTGTGTACTTCAACTGAAATGGTACTGCACCCTTAGAATTTTTTTCTTACATCTTTCATACAAGGTCAGGTTCACCAAACGCAGAGCTAGAGACCAGCTTCACAACCGACAGTGGTTATGAGCCACTCACGCTGTCCTTATCAGTTTAACATGCTACAGCTTTTGCTATAGGTGTTATGCTTTCAAACCAGTGTTTGATTCGAGCCCATCACAAGTCCCCATAAGTCCAGCACAAGTCCAGTCTTAAGCCAATTCACAAGCTATTCCAATGAACTGTGACAAAAACATTCCTTTGTCATTGTTCACCCTGTTACTTATGACTGGCCTTGTGAAGGTATTTGTGAAAGGACTTGTGATGGACTCGAATACAATGCTGTTTCAAACCCATAGACCAGAGCAACTTGATTTTACACACAGCTTTGCCAATCATGCGCTAGACTTGTTTCAAGGCTGTCCAGTACCTGTCGCGACCAATAGTATGGTACTTATTTTATGCAGTGTCAATATTGCAATACATGTAGTAAGTGCAGTATCCAATTTCGTGTTGAGGAACATGTGCACACTGTTATTGTGGTCTTTCAACACAGGACAAACTGAACTTTTACCGTTCCTCAAAATATAACTACATGTAACTAAACATCTTCAATTGTTTGTTTGAAAATACAGCGCTGTTCTTAGACAGCAGATGAAAATGTCACCAAGAATAAATGCACTTTGTTATTAAAATGTCATTTTTTTTCTAAGTGTTTAATCATGTATATATTTTGGTTTAATACACAACTCCCACTAGTCCCTAATTGTATAGTTAAGAAACTGTTGTAGATGACATTTAGAGATATATTAATTTTGGTGGTTATTTCAATACTCTGGTCAAAAGTTCATTTGGCAAATGATTCATTTATAAATTTATTTTAACTTTAATACAGCCAATATAATCCAAGTTGATTTATTTATTTCATTGACATTTGAATATATCAAGGTACGCTTTGAGTTTAATTTAACAATTTTTGATTCCTTTTGTTTTGGTAAAAAAGTTCATATTGAACCATAGTCACTTCTGTTAGCTCATTATATAAGTAAATACGTTAGGTGTAGATAGAAGAATTTCATATCTTACCAAAAAAATCACCATCAACCATTTGATAACTTTGTGTTTGCAGCTTTTCTGCCACAAAGCCAGAGCAACCCAGGCAAATCAACCATCCATGTGGATTTAGCCCCCTGGTTTAGCCAGTGGTGATTTCCCTTAAATGTGAGAGACACCAACCTTTGTATGGAATGGTGGCACGATTAGATCTTTTGATCTGCAACTCTGATGGCCAGAGCAATTTCTCAGGTTTCCCACCGAGGATTACCCGTATGTTTTGCCCGGTGGTGTGCTAGTGCATCCACCAAGCAAAATGACCGGTCCCACTTAGTCTCTCCTGAGATCAGTTCATATTTGGCGCGAAAGCAAAGAAACATGGGAATAGGTGACATCAGATTTAATCTGTGCAGTGCAAATTCACACCAGTTGAGCTCATTTCATCTCTAACAAATTTTTGTGTTATCGAAATTTGCTTCACTTATGTGTTCGTCTGAAGTATGACCATTATGTTATACACCATAATAAGTTTGTATATTGTATTTATCCATATTTTTTAGTAATAAACAGTACACTGGTACCTCGTAGCCAAAACACTATGTTTTAAACACTTGGCACATGGTGGCTCTTTCCGGAAATGCTCCACCAGGCAAGATTTGTCTAGTACTGTAAACAAGCACTCGGCTTATCTGTGTGTTTTTGTCCTCATTTTAGATAGGGACCACTCATTTCAGAACATGTACCATTCCATTGTTTTTATAGTACAAAATAATTTGCTGGTTCCGTCCAGAGTGAATTTCCGGAGTGTGTTTGAAGAAAAACCCTTGGGAAAAGTGTTCAAGTTGGGATTGGTGAGCAAGTTGAAAAATATCTTGGACCTGAACATCAGATTTGAGTTTTTTGGGGAAGGATAGAGTCATGTGAATGTGTGCAAAGGCGATTCATAATCTGTACTGATGCACAGACGTGTACAATGAAATCTGGACTCGCAATGCCCTTAATCAGCTTACAGAGATCATTGAATCCACTCACGGCCATTGTACCGAGCCGAATACAAAGCTTTCCTGGCAATGCCCGCCTTTGTTCTTCCTGACGTCAATAGAAGGGAGCCAACCCACACATTTGTATTTGGCTCGATAAAATGGCTGCTGGTTGGCTGCTTCTTCATACAAAGGCGTTTTAAGTCCAGGTTTTTTATATACACGGCCGTGCACTGACGTAACTGAAAAAAATGTGCAGTTTGGTACTTTCTGTTGAAGTTTCCATCATTCACTGTTCAGGGTTACAGAAAACTCTTGTGGAGGCTATGTCAGGTATGAATTGACCAAAACTGTTCACACTGAAGAGTGTTTTTTACATAGATCTTAAAGTGAAATAGAAATCTACAGGGATAAACAATAGTGTAAAAAGTACACCATTAAGTAATACTTGTTATTTTTTGTAGACTTTGTTTTAGAGAAAGGAGGAAATGGCTGAACAAAATCCGACTCGATGTTGAATTTAATGGTTGTGTAAATAATTGGATTGGCAAGGAGAATCCCAAAGTCCATGGCCACTCTTTGTACAATATTAGGTTTGACTGAAAGGAATAAAGAACTAGGAATTTGAGAAAGGGAGCATGGGTATTGAATCTGTATTTAGGTGGAAAAGGTATTGGTTGGCTTTGTACAATTGTATTCAAAATCAGGCATAATTTTTCAATATGTATCACTGTGCTGGAGAGAATGTAGCACTTCAAATCTTGAGAAATATTATGTAACATGACCTTCAAATGCCCAGATTACTACACACAACTTTGAAAGAAACTTAGTTTTGTGCAGGCCCTGTGCCACATGCATGAAGGTGTGCACGCCAGGTCCAGAGCCATACATACAAAGAATTGCAGCATGAGGTCCTCCAAGATGTGATGCCATTTTGTCTCCAAAATGATGGGCTGCTTTCAGAAAACATGATACATATATATGCGGTCAAATTGATGAATACCTCCAAAATGTGTTTAATGCTATCATGTCTACAAAAATAAAACTATCAATAAATTGTTAGGAATACCAATTATAGCATACCAGTACGTGCACCGCATCTACTTATTCATATACCAAGACCTAGGCATGTATTAGATTATACATATTTCACAAGTAATCTATATGTAGAAAGATAAAACAGTTCCATGTGTGAAATATAACATTCCACAAACATTTACAGCCTTACAAAAATATCCTTTTACACCAGATGGTGATATTTATTAAGTATGCTATGTATAAACCATTCCTATAAATTAGTCTTACAAAAATATTTCAGTCCAGATTACTCATGGCGACACTAAACATGGATATGAAGAACAACTTGCACTTTCTTTCAAAGAGAGTGAGAATTTCAAATCTCACGACCCTGCAATAGATTGTTTTGCATGGATTCGCATCGCAATCAGTGATCTGAAGTTGGTTCCCTAACACTGGATCCTGCCTTCTTGGTAGTATAAACCAACATTGGAATCACTAATCGAGATCCAGATCCATGTGAAACATACAGGCAGGCTGTGTATGTCGGCAATCTTGAATTGAAAGCGAGGTAAAACTTTTCATTTTGGAACATTAAAGTTCACATAACAGTGATGAGATAACTTTTGTTTAGAATAATTCAAACTTTGTGATAAATCATATCTCAATATTTTAAGCAGTATTTAAAAAACTGAAAGTGAGGGTTGTAACCCAAAACAGTCTGGCACCACCCCATTAACAAATTAAATTGCATGTGATAGATTCAGGGAACAAGATAGGAAAAAATGGCTTCCCAGTGGGTATGGTCTAGTGTCAGAGTGAAAGCATACCCTTTGCTCAAGTTTGTTTTTTGAGGAATGATAAAACTTTCATTTGTAATTCCTAAACAGATGTATGTATAGTGACCAGAAGGGGATATGTCTTCAAAGTTATTCGTTTCCATCAAGTGGAAGTTGACAAGTCACTGAATGCATTCCGTGCACAAAATACTATGGAGGAATTCCACCTCGGCCAACGAGCTTAATGGCACCTCCACCACAAGGACGCAAAGTTAGAGTCTCTGACAGCACAACTCGGCTAGGCCCGATGGCATTTCTGTAGAAACATGGACCATCTGCAAGCAAATGGAATATTCAGTGCTGCTGATAAGGAAATAAAACCCAAGGCGCTTCCTCCAAGAACAACATGCTAGTTTTCTCGCGTCTTCTTGCAAAAGGCATGTCAAGGTTGAAAATTCCTTTTTCGGCATGTTAGGGTCGAAAATTCCTTTTTCAGAAATCCAGAAAAAGCTCTGTCAGAATACAAAAATGCTCAAGGCAATCAAGCAATATTGTAACAAAAAGGTCTGTGGGTGCTGGGTCAAGACACAGTTGTAAGTAGTGCACCCAGCTGTTGGTACGTTCATTGTGATGGCGCATTCCTTTTTAGGGGTGCTGGGCCATGTCTATTGATGTAAAGTACAAAATGTACAATGGACTGCTTTTAACAATCCACTGACTGTCTGCTAGCAGGGTATATAAGGCCCATGTGACCACCACTGGATGAGACATTTTTACAGAACACTGTGGCTGGGGACACATCTGTCCCTAAATTTCCATCATGGAAAAACAAACTTGCAAGAAGAATACAAGAGGTCATGCTTTCCTTCAAGCAAGCCACAAATGTGTGTCTTTTCTTACAAACTTACAGAAAGAGGCAGAGCTGCGCCACTTCGATGCCACACATGACAAGGAAGCTAACGCCCCCGCTCATAATGTGCAGTGTGGCTGGGTAGAGATTGTCAAAGACTGCTGAAGCAAAGAGGTGAGCCACGGTGCCCATGATGTCTAACAGGGCGAATGCACTACCTGTAAGACATGGAGGTTATGATCACGGTGATTTCATAGATTGGCAGTAAAACCAACACCTGAATTCACAGTATTTGACAGATTAAAGGTCTAAAGATATTGACTGTTAGTTTAACCTCCTGAGATAGCTAAAGTTGAGCATGTTATTTTGAATAAAACTACCTTGCTCGTCAGGTGAAACCAGCATAGACATCATTCCGCGGTAAATTGTAATGACCAACTCAAAAAAGTACAATGGCACTGTCGCTGAAAAACAAAACAAAACACAAGGATAATTGGCGACAATCAGAATCCACAGGTAGCTTTGACTGGCTTGCCAACCCAAACCGTGGCACTTTCTTGATGTCTTTCTATCACCCTTACCCAACCAGACGGCTGGAGTTGATCTAGCAAATGCCATCGTGACAAACCCGATGCCAAGCATCACGATAGCCATGCCGGCGACAGTTCGGACATCGATGCCTACCAGTCTGGTGACCGGGATGACAGTGAGCAGCAACACGATGTTGCTGAGGGCAACAACAGCGGAACAGCTCCCTGCAGGGAGGAGGAAAGATGACGTTGAAAAAAAAAAGATGATTCACATGTGTCAGCTGACAGATATGGTCTAATCCAATGAGATGTCATTTCAGTAGTGGCACATGACATCCCTGCATAAGTTGTTAGATCTTGTGGTAAAGCGTACGCATTTGTAACTCACAGAAGCCTACGTATATTCATCAAAGAGGCATTTCAAGTGTACAAGTTTACAAAAAGATTTACATGTAACACCTGGTTTTGTACTTGGACTTGAGTAGCTTGGCAACTAAAAATATTCTCCAAAATTGTACAATTATAAAATTTCAAATTTTGTGTGTAAAAAACAGTCAAAGAGTTACCATGGCAACTGCACAGATTCAGACTTTGGCAGACTTGGGAGAAGAGGTTACAAAAGAAAATACAGTTTTTTGGGGGGGGGTTCACCCATCAACATTGACCAATAAAGAAGCACCTCACAAAGGAGCAGCTGTATATGTCAGAAAATTGGAAACTGGGAAGACAACGCTACCTGTCATTAAGGGGGTCCACTCTATGGGCGCCTTCGTTGTGTAAAGTACGAAAACATTAATGAAACCTGTGAACAAAAGTAGCACTTGACATTATGTGACCCAAAAAGTCACAAGACGTTAAAATTTGTCTAAACCACAACATACTGTACAGTAGTGCACCAGTATTTAACATGCAAAGAAGGTCTGAGACAAAACGAAAAACTTCAACCACCACTCAGCCTAAAATTCTCTGAAATTTCCATGTGGCCAAAATCTACGCGTGCTCAATTTCCAATTAGGGCATCTAGTCAATTTCTAAAATGAAATTTCCATAAAAGTTTTGCATTTGACATTGAGTTGAAGACAAGCAGTTGGATAGAATTACACGTACATGCAGTTGATCAGGTGTAATATGCTCACCAAAATAGTTGGAGTTGAGAAGAAAAAAGCAGCTCAACAGGAGTATGAGAACTGCTCTTCTGTAACCCGGCCGCTTCCGTGCCAATGCCACAAAGGACCCAAACAAGGTTTCACGCTGGAAGAGTTTGCCACATAGTCCTTTGCTGGCATGCCCTCCTTCTTCTGGCAAATTCCTTGTAGGTCCCTCATAAAAATTTCTTTCTTGCGTGTTTAACAATGGATCTGCCTCACTGTCAGAGTGACTACTGCTTTCAGACGTTTCAATTTTTGATGGACTTGTGTTGCGTGTTTCTTTTAAGTGGAAAACAGTGTATAACATCGCGAGAAGGAAGAGTACAATGAAAAGACCGAACAGCAGTTGGAAGGAGTGACTGTTGGTAAGCAGGCCTGCTATAGCCACGCCTGTAACTGATGAGAAAGCAACCGCACCTTCTAGAATTGCTATACGCATCACCCGGTTCTCGATGGTGGAGATGTCAGCAACATAGCTGAACATCATACTCAGCAGTATGCCGTTACTGCCGGTCAACCCAAAGCACGCCCAGCCGATAAGAACGAGTGGCATAGGCAGATGGATCCAGAGAGCCGATACCAACAACATGGTTCCGAGGACGGTGCTACCGATGCAGGCCAGGATCAGCGGAGGTCTGCGCCCAATGCGGTCGGACCATGCCCCCAAAATGAGCATGGTGAATAGGGTGGGTGTGTAACAGATGATATCAATGTACAGAAGCCAGCGGGACGTCTCGGCCTGGATCCTGTCCTCGGCATGTGGGTGTGCACTCAGGTTGCTGCAGAGACTTGTCTCGTTGTAGGCAATCATGCAAAGTTTGAAGTAGACAAATTGCTGGTTGCCTTGGGTCAGAAAAAACACTGCGGTCATGGTCATCACGGCTAGTGGCTCAACCGTTACCGCAACCAGCATACGATGCACAAACTGCATACAACCCATGGTTTAACACTTACACTATTTTCGCAGAGTCAAATGAGGGTTGATTGAAGTGACTTCACTACACCCAGCACATCAACTGAAGACGTCTGATGGTGACTTGCATTTCTTACAGGAACAGCTGAACAATGGTCACAACTTTAGTGTGCTCACGATCTGGGTGCACGACAAGTGCAGACAACTTGTGCTTCTGCTGGTGTTTCATAAAATGTTCAATATGAGGAACAAGTCAAGGAAAGGTTATTGCAAACTTTGAGATTTGTCAAAATTAAGGAAAGAGCTCCATATCCGACCACCACAATTCTGGAGCTTTGTAAACACCAACAGGTATTGAAAATATGACCTCAAAATGTTCCCTCAAACAATTTCAGTTTTTCCTAAGCTGAATGAACTATATTTGATAGAAATACAGGAACCAGTTCAGGTGAAATTTTTCAAGGGAGTTTGGGGTGGCTTGCTCTAAAAATGTTTCTAAAATGATATTTAGCTGACCTTCAATAAGTCCATTTTGGTGTAACATCTCCCCCATCTTGGATGTTTAACAAGTCAGCTACAACTGAGTTTAAGCTAAATTGCTAAACCTGAAGTTGAAGATAACATCACTTTCTATAAGTTCAGCTCTTCCCCCTTAAATACATGTAGTTGTGGTGACTGTTCCAAATCTACCCTATTTTGATGGCGTGACACTACTGTGTTTTTTTGGGGGGGGGGGGAAATTTGGGAGAACAGGTGAAATTGGAAATTTAAGAAAAGGATGTGTCTATTATAATTTTTTAAGGTGAAGCAAACCGGTTCAACAGTCTTATTTATGCTCACAGCTTGTACCATTTGACGAGCTAGTTGTTTCATTTGAAAAAAAATAGCCCTATGCCACTGGACCTTTCTCGCTGTTGTCAATTTCACCAGGGTACACTGAATCATTATGAAAATAATTTGTATCTATGCAAGTGCAGGCCCCTATCTCTTGTTTTTAGGACCAGAATGATCGACATTGTATTTTGGGGCCCTCATGAACGTGTAAATTTCTCTTTGGCAAAAAAGGACCCTAACTGTACTTTTATATGAACATCCTTGTGTTAACATCTGTTAATCATATTTATGCAAGAGTACATGCATGTGCATGACGTAAGCTGGCCCAACTACAGCACAGTGTGTGCATACATGTACATGTATATATGTGCTAAAGCATAAACCAAGACATTTTGTTTCCGACTCATGCTTGCAGGAATGAGTTTTTATGACGAATTTCCATATTTTAGACGAATTACGTTTGGTGCGAGCTGCATAAACTCGCAGAAGGTTGAGAAATTTTCTAAAGAGATTGCCCAACAATAGTTGGGATAGCCCAACTGCAGCACTATACATGTACGGATGTAGTTAGTTTGGGCGTAACAACACCATGGAGGATTCCTTCCATGGCCTAGCCGGTAAGTACACTCCCCAATGGCAAATAAAGAAACTAATAGAATTATTAAGAAAACACCTTAGTAGGACTTTCATGCCCCCTCAACGTCCAGCTTCCCCACTCCCCACCCCCTATTTTACTCCTTTCATGTTGGCCCACAACAAAGTTCAAACTGGAGTGCCCCCCCCCCCACCGACGGCCTTCGCCGCGCCGGGCCCGGTGCCCTTCTAACGTCTTTTGTCATAGCATACGGCAAGGAAGCAGAATACGTATTCTTTTCGAAGACTTGTCCATGCCCCAAATACAAAATCAGAATCACTGACTACCAGATAAAGTCGAATAAAGCAAAGACTGATATATGAAGATAAGGATACCGTACGACCACCGACGAAAGCCAACCGCGGGTCATGCACCATTCGTGGTGCGCTCGCGTTCTGCTGGGTTACTGATGTCTCCTGACTACCACGAAATCCACAGCATTACACCTTGGGAAGTCTGTTCAGACCACTCTGGGGACAAGACCAGGAAGTGGCAGATATTTTCTAGTTCAACATGGCGAGTTGCAGCAACTTGACCGTCAACGTTAGCGGCTGTGTTTGGAGTTCACTGTTCCTCGACCATGCCAGCAGCATGGGTGACCAGGTTTGTAAACCTACGAGATTATATTATGTGCAACATAGTCTAGACATTACATCATTATTCCTATGGAGAGGTGAAAAGCATGTACTTTGCGACAAGCATAGTGAACATCGTTCATCATCTCGTGACTCCAGGCATAGGCCTACCTGGTTTCATTTATTTTGTCCATGGAAACTGGGCCTTAGGCCCGAGAGTCCATATCTTGGACACCAGACCGTGCCAAATTTCCGGGCACTTTTGAATTCGAAGGAGTTTTCCCAGAAAACAGAGCCATGTGGCAGATACTGCTAGCCTGTACTGAAATATGGCCCAGGCCCTACATGTATACTGAAATGTTGTGCTACGGTACTGTGCATGATTGCTTTTTAACTCTGTTTGCTAAGAATACTGATTTCCACTCTTACTCGACCCGCCAAGCCTCACAATTTCATTTACTTTATACAAGAACCCGGCTTGCCCAACAAAGTATTAAATATGAAGGCCGAAACTTTGGAACTCATCAGATGAATCTCTTCGACTTGAGACCTAAATACTCTGTCTAGTTTCAAAATTATAAGAAATTACTCCGTAACTCATACTCTCTTAATTGATTTTGTCCTTCTTGAAACCAGTTCTGATTTATGATTTTTGAATATTCCACCTGATATCACCTTTTGGTTTGTTTAGTGTTTTGTATCGACTTTGCACAGTCATTTGTTTGCTTGCTGTGTTGTTTGTTTGTTTTGTTACATTTACAGTTTTATTCATAATTAGTTATTATCAAGGGGACCCGCACTTGACAAGCTCTGGTTTTTGTTGGTCTCCTCCATCTCATTGCTTCAATGCCTGTCATTGTTTACTAGATTTCTTGATTTTTTCAACCACTGCCATGGCAGATTTCATTTTCTTTGGCAATTGCTGTGTAAGTATATGGCAATAATCCAGCAAAAATCCTTTTCACATAAATGTTCCCAGATAGCAAATGCGGATTCATTTCCTGGATCCTTTAAGTTAGGACAAAGCGACAAACAGTTGTTATGGGCAAAGTGGTAAATGGGCAAAGTGGCTGACAGTAACTGGCTGATGATGGAATTACTAACAAATTGTGTTGTGAGGTCGACTGATCCAACAACTGAGCAGCTTGGCTGATCGTGCCCTGTATGCATGCATCAGTCGTTTGGAATCAATTCTGCTTGCCTAGAAAAAAAATCATTCGAAAATAGAGTTCACATATACCAGTGCATGATGTGAAAAAAAGTGAAATTACTCCACCTTTCTTCCTATAGATGTAAATATAAATTGTTGTCTGTAAACACCGATATATTGTTAACGACAGACTCAATAGTGCTTGTTGAATATGTGGGGCTGTGCCGAATATCCAAATATTCGATCGATTATCGGACGTTATTTTTCAAATTTGAATATTCGAATACAAAATTCATGAAAAGGAAGGGAGAATTTTCTTTTGTTTTAAATTTTAAAAATTGCACTCTGGAGGCTTGTTTTAAGCAGATTCAAATGAAAAGCAAGAGAAATCTTTGAAAAATTCGAAAATTAATAATTCATTAAAAATTTTTAAAGGAATAGAAATTTCCAACAATATTAAGAAGTACTGTTCGTCTCTTAAATCTTGCTAAATTGTGGCTAGAGATTCTCCTCGACCTGAGAAGCTATGGTAGTGATTGTAATGTGCAATTGTGTGCATTATTGCAACTTATTTTGTATATGGTTTGTTCATCAACAATCTGCCGGTCGTTATGACCATGGAGGAAGAAAACAGCGACCAAAACTTAAATTTGGAGAGCTACAGCATGTCAGTAAATGGTAACTGCACTAAGTATACTGCTTCATTCATAATCTGATTTTTGTTTCATGGGTCTCTATCTTTTTCCTTTGTAGGAAGGTTTCCTGTTTGGGGAGATCAGGAGGCAGACAAATGAAGACATCAGCGACTCACAAATTACACGAAAGACAGAACAAATATCAGTCAGTAAGTTAGTTTGTTCCTGTATGCATTGTCTACAGTGGTAAATTTGCAAATTGCACCTTTCTTGTATATTCTTGTGGTGTTTATGGTCATGAGAGTTTTTAGATTAAAGTACATTCAATCGCTTCATATTGTGCAACAATGTATTTTTTTAAAGACTTTCCCCAGATTTTATCCCCGTACAAAGTTAGTTTCACTCATCTTTTCCTTCTCTTTTCACCAACAGACATTTTCTCACACTACGCATGTGATGAGCCATTCAGGTAACAGTAATTTCAGACACATGGTCAAGTATGCGGGGATTTCTTTTTGAAATTGAATATTCCGAGGAGAAAAATCAGTAAAATGAAAGTAAAACATTCAATTATTTGGCCACTATTAGGCCAATTTTTTTAAAAGTATATTTCAAAGAAAACTTAATGGCAACTGAGGTATGTGCCCGGCAGTAAGGTCACGTCATTTCTGGTGTGTATTTCATTTGACTTTTTGTGGTGTGTAATCTGGCATTGTCACTGTGACTACTGGGAATAAATCATCAATTAGAACTGAATATCAATTGAACTTCTAGCCTCTTCTCTGAATTTTGGGGTAGCCGTGTTCTGAAATTCAATGCGGTGGACTATCCAGAGACATACATACGTTTGTTTCTGCTTTTGTGGGAATTTGATACATGTGATTATATAAATCTAACGGAAGGTCAAATTTTTGAGTATTAAGTTCTTGAAATTGACATACATGTATTTGCCAATCACCAATATGCTTTGCTGTATCTTTGAAAGTGGGAATCTACAGTTGCCATAAGTTCAGTAAAACATTCTTGCCCTGTGGAACCAGTGAAAATGGTTTCCATGTCTGTGACTGTGTCCTTTTTTTGAATTGTAGTTTCTATGATCGTAAGGGCCACACCGACCAAGTCAAACTGCTGTCAATGTTGAAAGACAATTACAAGGTAGAAAATTCAATTTTTCATTGGTTGCTTTCTGTGTTGACCAGTTTAATTCTGTTCTCAACTGTGCATGGGAGATGAAAGACATTGGACTTTGTTCACGAGATGGCCATTTTTTGGTCGTATTCCCCAAATCCGCTCTATTTATTGAACACTCTGAAATTGGAAGGAGCCTGGCTATTTTGCTGTAATTATAGGAACAGTCCCACTTTGAAAATATTTTTCTTAACCCTAACTGCCCAAAACCTGCCATACTCCAACAGCAGGTTTTGTGAGGTTTTGGCAGGTTTGGTACCGTACCTGAGGAACTTGTTGTTGAATTTTGTGAGACTTGGGATGAAAGGCCCAGGGAGATGGTGTTGGATTCTGTGTGAGTTGGGACACAAACAGGTCACTGTGTGCAGTGTCTGGCTTGCTGTACCAGTTGTTGGACTTTGCTTGATTTTGTCAGGTTTGGTACTATTCAATGCAAGTCATCCTATACTGCATAGACCCATCCATACCATATCACTAAAACTCCAATGGGCTCATTC